AGGGAAGCATCAAGAAGCATTAATTACCAAAGAAATCGAGGAATTAGCATCGACCATGTGAGAAAGTCTTTTCGTTTCGGAATCACCGGCGAATTCTCGTTAGACTCTCGCGGGCTCGTTTAATTTCTGGCGTAGTTAATTGGACTTGATAATGTGTGTATCGGAGATCGAGATTTGCCGGCGCGCGCGAACGTAATGAGTCTTAAAAGTAATTCGTTACGTGAACCTATTTATTGGATTGCATCGCACTTCCAATATTCCCGAGCAAGATCGTTTTACGATCGTTTCAGCTCGCGTTTGTTTTTGACGCTACGTATTATTTAACTGACCATGCTTTCCTCTGCGAGATCGTGTTATCGGGTTTTCTATTTCAAGTGGAAACTCGAGATTAATGTGATTACGATTTCCCCGTTTAACGTGCGCGAACCACTTTCGAGATGTTAAATTGTTGATATCTCTCCCCGTGAATCATATGTCGGAAACGCTCGTTTTTCTCGTTATAATTGAAAATCTGACGAGGCGATTTCACGGACGAAGGATAAACTGTCGAATAATGTGTAACAAGTTGTTCAAATAGAAACGCCGCGGACTTGTAGTATTACAATAGGTATTTGATGCTTTCATTGCCCTACAAATCACTGAAACAAGTGCCTCATGAAATATGCATGGAATTTTAGCATCTCGTCAAAACTAACTTAGAGTTACCGCCGGTGAAAAGCGAGAAGATTCTCTCAGACTCGATGAATTTGTTTTACGTAAGCCAAGGGAAACTTTGGAACGGTGCTCGCTGAATAAGAGGAAGTCGTGTAAAAGCTTTATGAAAGAGAACCTGCATTTGAAATAATAGTGAATGATATTATTAGCTGCCGTAGAAACAAAGTGAAAGACTGTTTAAACATGCAAGAGTTTCTTCTCTCTCAAAAGGCGTGTTACCGGCGCGATAAATAGGCTACGAATATTTATGCGAATTTAAATTCCTTTGGATTCTTCATTAGCCAACGAAGTCAAGCAGAGACGTATGTTTTCTAGTGAAGATTCTGTTTACAAAACAGACGAAACTTCGTGCGATTCTTCCCAAGGGTTTCATTTTACTTTCATTAGCACACTCATACATGTTATGAATATGTTAAATACGCAGGCAAAAGATTGGACTTTCTAGAATTACATGTGCTACAATGGATTTTGATCCGCGTATGTAAATTTTCCCCGGGGCTATGAATACTGATCAGACATTAATTTCTCAATGGAACATAACAGTAATAACTGTGCTGCAACTTTGATACAATCATAACCAAGCTCCAAAGTACAAAACACGAGTAACAAGGTTCTTTCAACGGTGTTCGAAGTGTCCATATTATTTTCATTCGATCGCGATACTGAAATCATAAAATGAAATTCACGCGTGACCCCTTGTTCGAAGTCTTATATTAATTAAACAGGTCTAACACTAAACAAAACTCGATATTCCCACGAATACTAGTCATAGTAGTCACATTAATAACTGGAGTATTGTTACGTGATCAGGTTCGAACCCGAGACGTGGGCATGATAACGAGCACCCCGATAAAACGATCGCTGCAGAGGAGTCGTTTGCAGATCGAAGAAATCGTACCTGAAATAAAAGACCACAGCTCGTTGTCGTACGACCGATCGACCTCGAGCCTGGACAAGTTCTATTCGAGCGACTCGCGGGACAGCTGGAAGTCAACGTTGACCCGCAGCCAGCTGATGTACGAGGAGATCGCGCCGGAAGTGAGGATGATGGACCGTTTGAGGCGCAGCCCACTTCAAACCGAATCGATACCGCCGACCAGTCCGAAGCTCGTCCGAGATGCTAAAAAGTTTCGCGATGTCGGCATCAACACGAGGAGCAAATTGAAGGATCTCGTGGTCAGCCAGTTCGTGATCGAGGACATCGCGCCGGAAGCGAAGAAGGAGATCAAGAAACGATCCCACGGGACAGCCACCGTTCTAACGATGAAGGACGTGCTGACGAAAGAGGACGTCGCGATCATCGTCGACGACGCCCTCAGGATGTACAAGAGTACTCTGATCAAGGACACCGTTTCCAAGGGCTGCCAGTGTACACCGGAACCTCCGAAACCCGTCGAGAAGCGAGATCAGTTCGTCCAGGCGTCGGAGCCGTTTAAAATGAGGGCGAATGTGGGGGTGACAGTGAAGCCGAGGGTGTCTGAAATTGGCATCGAAGTGAGAACCGGTCCTGGAACGAGGACCATTGCGGTTGGTCCCGATCCATTGGCCGCGCAGCCTATATCCCTGCACTCGTTGAACTCGAGGAGCTATTCGTTCAATTACGGCGACACCAAGGTGAAGAGGAAAGCTACCAGGTCGGTCAGCGTGATGGTCGACGATCTAGTGAAAACGACCGTGAAGAGCACCGACACATCCGGCCTGACGCCGAAGAAACGGGAATTCGGCACCTCGCCGATCAAGAAGAAGTACACCGACGTTTCCGTCGGCGAGTCGGTGAAACCGCACATCTCGATCTCGTGCGCGGCGAATTATTGCGACAACTGTAAGGAGACCATCAAGAACTTGGCGAAGCAGATTGTAAATAACGCGGAGAACAATATGAATCACCAGAACACGAATCTCGTCTCGAGAATACCTAGGCCGTCCCATATACCTTTAAATAACTCGATGGACCAGAGGAGGCAGTTCAAACGGCAGGACACGTACACGAAGATACCGTCCGCTGGTGTGATTAGATACGATTCCGATAACAAGGAGCAGTATGAAAATAGCAATCGGTTAGTGGGAATTTTTTACAGTCATTATGTTCCTTTCGTCTAACGTCTCGTCGATCGTTGAGAAATTTAGTTTACTCGATAGACGGTCCGCTAATTAAATAGACGTTGCAAGTAAATTTCTGAATTAATTATACGGCAATGGTGTTGTGCCAGCGTTCATTATATATTTATATAATGAAATGCATATATTCAACCCTTTATACTCGGGAGGTGATTCTCACTCACCATTTCACTTGATATAGGAAAGTTATAAAGTTATTTAACATTATAACGTTAAATATTGAATAAAATATCTTCGTTTCTCAATTTATTATTTTCGTCGGAAAACGTTGAAGGTTTCTAGTGAAAAACTTTCGAGTGCAAAGGGTTAATTGATATATGTATATATGGAAAATATTTAATTCACTTTCTTAAAATTTACATTGCACCCTCTGTTATTATTTAATATTTTTTATATGTAAGTTTAATTACTGAGAAACGATTTAATGATATTTTGGATCTGTACACTGTACGCCATCTGTCACTGGCGGGGTGAAAGGTGAAGGCGAGGGGTGAGTCGATAAAGCGTCATATTCGATCAATGCGTCATATACTTAATGAGAGGCGCATGTCGGGTGGTTGTTGGTTTTTTGGAGTCTATGGCTGCGCGTCGGATGCGTCATAAGTGTTTTCACAGCGGTGCGCAGAGGTCAGATTGTAAATATCACCTGTGAGGTCAGTGACAGAGAAAGTGTACCCTAAATCTCCTACGATCACGATATGGTGAACGAGTAACCGTGTGTACGATCTAAACAGATCGATGCTGCAACGGCGACAACAACAACAAGCTATCCGTTTTTTACACGATAGCGAGCTTACCGAAGTGTCGTCTGCTCGTTTCGTCGAGAAAGGGTAAAAATTTTCCATAGACCAGTGTCTTAAGATTTTCAAAGTAGAAAAAAAAAGGTTCTTAAAGTATTAAATTGATTCGGGCAAATTTAGTTAATTAGCATTTGCAAAGATGTTCAATATAGGAAAATGAATTTTATGATTGTTTGTTCTAGTATCCAACAATTACAAGGGGAGAAGAGGAAAGATGAAAAGTCCCAAGAAATCTACATGGCGGAGAAGCAAGCAGAAAACGATGAAAAGCATGAGCTTCCAGAATCCGCTCTGTTCCAACCCATTCAAGAGAAACCTAGAAAGAAGGTTGAACCTTCTAAGGAAATGCTGGCTGCCATGAAGGTGCTGAACGACAGCCTTAAAAAATCACCTAGCAAGAATATCTCTCATCAGATGAAGAATGCCATCAACATTATCCAACAAGAATGGTTCAAGATCTCTAGCACAGTAAATGCCAATCCTTTAGAAGTAGAGGATTATCTAGATTGTTTTGAAGAATGTTCCAGTACTTTGTTGGAGTACATTGTCAATATGACTGACTCCAGTGGAAATACTGCAATGCATTACGCAGTTTCCCATGGAAACTTTGATGTTGTGTCCATCCTTTTAGATTCTAAAGTTTGCGATATTAATAAAGCAAATGTAGCTGGTTATACAGCTGTGATGTTAGCAGCACTTGCAGAGGTCAGGAATTCCACTCATGCATCCGTGGCAAATAGATTGTTCCAGCTGGCTGATGTGAACATTCGAGCAAAATTGGTAAGTGTCTTATAAATCTGTTATTCTATATAAGAAGCAGTTAATAAAACATTTGCATATTTTTCAGCATGGCCAAACTGCCTTGATGCTGGCAGTATCTCATGGCCGCAAAGACATGACTCAACTGCTTCTGGATGCTGGAGCGGCAGTTAACATTCAAGACGAGGATGGTAGTACAGCTTTAATGTGCGCTGCAGAACACGGACACACGGATATTGTGCGATTGTTACTTGCACACCCAGACTGTGATCCATCAATCGTCGATATAGACGGCAGTTCCGCTCTGAAAATTGCGTTAGAGGCTGGCAATCGGGACATCGGCGTGTTACTGTACGCCCACGAACGCGTGAACAGAGGAACAAGTCCTTATTCGTCAATGAGACGAAGCAGAAGAGGATCCAAACCAACAACGCCTACTGGACCGTCTCCTTCGGCTCCGGTTAGCCCCGCTCCGTCCCGTAGAATTCATTCATCGACCATTTCACTGAACTCCTCCAAATATTCTGCCAAGTAACTCGCAAACGTTGGAAGACATTCATTGACACTTAACAATACCAGCAGTTTATAGACAACTGGAATTACAAACGTATCACATGACCAAGCAATAATAACAATCGGCGTCCCGTGTTTCCTATATTTATTGCTAACGGTGTTTTAGTCTGTATCGTCGATTACAATACTTTAAGGTTTAACTATTGCATAAACGATCATATTCTTGCCTAACGGTTCATTAGCCCTCAACACAAGCGTTTTTAATTTAAGGTGACCAATTAACTGCTCAACTTTGTATACAATTATTCGAGAGAAGTTTGAACGTGTCGTTTTGCAATGTCAGTCCATGGAATGGATACGCACGGAACTCGTGTAAACTGAAACTTCTTTCTAGGTGCTATCAGAGTAATGACCTTTGTTGTTGATAGATTTTAATGAGAATATCAATAGCGTGGAGCTTCGGTGATGGAACGGACACATTCAAAATTTGATTCTTAACTCTAGAAACTGTGTGTGAAAGTACAAAAAAAATTTCTTATATAGAAAAAGTCACAGTCCGAGAATCAAGTAACGTCTTCCAACATCATCCTGTGGCATTAAACATTCCAAAGTGAATCGTCAACAATCCGAATTTCTGATCGCAGAAATGTTTTCTTACATTTTTATGGCAAAGCATTCGAGTTTCAGGCCTAATTTCCGTTAAGTCCTGGGGATCAAACTGTCGGTAGAATAATTGTGTACTAATATACATAGAAAGACATAATTACATGTAACGACTACATGGTGCACAAAACACGACGTTCGCAACTCATGTTGAATTTATATACGAGAAAACATTCTTAGAACTTATCGATCGTCGTTCGATGTTGAAGTAGAAATGTTTATAGATGTGAAAGTATAAATAAATATTATATATCCGTGGATCACGATGTAAAATATCGAAGGACATGCGAGGGAAAAATAGAACAACTAAGTTTTAATACTTGTTGAAATTTGTTCAGGGTACGAGTTTTATATATGTAATAGAATCACGGAAATGTAATTTCTTTTCATTCCTCGTTTATGCGTGTCACCTTCGTTCTAGGAATTGGTATGTGTAAAAAGAATTTTTAACGTTGAACGTTTCTTATAGGGTTGTGAATATCTAGACGTAACGAACGTATTTAAGTTCAACATCAAAGATTTAGGTTAACATTGTAATGAGTATTCCTATCATTAAGAATCTATATTAATGTTAAGTGGCGAATTATATATGTATATATATATACATATATATATATATATATGTATATCAAAAATAGCACTGAATCAAGTAAGAATAGAATTGTAGGGAACTAGAAAGTAGAGAACTACTTTTCATTGTTTGTGCCTTTATATTTAACATATTGTAATTGATAATAAACTCGAGGAAAAACTATATAAATTGATTGTAATTTATGAAGAGTCAATGTAAACAATATATAACAAATCAGTCAGATTTCACCTTCCTGGTATATAATTACACAAATTCCTTGACCTATGATAAATTTTATCATAATGAATGAATCAATGTTTATGATAAAATAATGAATATTCTTCTGTACCTCAAAATTAGTCAAAATGATAGAATAAATTATATTTCTCTTTCCTTTGTAATGTAAGTCTTTACCCAGCCTGCATTAATAAATTATTAACAAAAAACAACCAATTTTGCAACTATAAATTGTTAAAGTATCATGCAACACTTACTCTGTATGTCGAAGCCAAGTTTTTTTTCGTAAGAATTATTTCATTCTTGATTGTTCTGAAACATTATCATGAAAAATTATGAATATTATCTGCGATATTCATTTAATTATAAATAATATGGTTATATTGATTTTAGTTAAAAATAGTGTAAGTAATTCATACCTAATAACGGAGTAAGACGTGTCGTAACACGTTTAAAATTTGAACGGCAATGCTGAAGAAAAGCTCATGGTTGGCAACCCTGGCTACACATCATACGTGACGTGAACGTACTGCTGTTCGTCCGTTCTCAGATTACTTCATTGACAGTTCTTTCTGCAAGGTTTGTAATTATGTTTTGTTTTAATTTATGCATAAAAAACAATTTGTTTAGTCATTAAAATAAATTACATAAATTTGTTATAAATGACAAATAATATAACAAAATATTATGTTACGTATTCCATTTTAGGATTCAGATTAATCCATCTTTGTTATGACTTTTCTGCTCAAATTTATCCATATTTTACACATTTATTAGAATACGTTCTACAGTTACAGAATAATAAAAAAAGAATTTTCCATGAATATTGTAACAGAAAAAATTTTTGTACTTGGAATGTCATTTTGTTAGTTTCCTTTTTACATTTTGTTAAGATATTTCATATTTATATTATTACTCTTTTCATTGCAGGGGTGTTTTAAATAACCGTCAAAATTGAGAATAAAATGCGCAGATCTCATACAAGTAAGTTAACCAATATGAAAATATTACTTTTATTGTGATGAAATGTCATCATAATATGACATATTTAAATTTTTGCAACAGGTTATGCCTATGAGCCATTACCATCAACATCAACGTCAACATCAAATCACAATGGTTTGGAAGATGAAAATGAAAGGATGACAGATCATTTAAAAGATAAGATCCATGCCCTAAAGTCATTATCAATAGATATTGGAAATGAAGTGCAATACCAAGAGAAAATGCTTCGTGGAATGGTAACATAATTAATGGCTGAATCATACAGTATATTGTACGAATTACATTTCACAAATATATTAAAAATACTTTTCTATTATCACAGGATGAAGATTTTGAAAGAACAAGTGGTTCCTTAATGGGATCTGTTTCACGTGTATTACGGTTGTCTAAAGGAAGCCACCATTATTATATTTTATATTTATTCTTATTCTCTATAGTTGTCTTTTTCCTGCTATGGATAATATTGAAATTTTTCAACTAAAAATGGTTTATGGGTGAAACACAATACGACAAGAAAGATCATTCCTACATTATTATTATATGTATACACATGCATAACATTCAATTATGACATGCAATTCTTGTATAAAGATCAAGAATATTTTTAATTTATTTATAAACTGTACAGTTTAAAATGTTATTGGGTTTTATACATACAATATTCTTTGCATACGCGCTATACTTAAATGTACATAAAGTAATGTAATTACAAAAACATGCTAAGCATGTATTTTGTGTGTAGAGATGCACATGTGTACAGGTATATATACGTAAATATATTTTAATTAATGTAAATTTTAAAACTTTCAAATCTTTATTGTCATGTACTGGCATCATGTTTGAATGTTGGCGGCATTGACTGTATGTATACGTTAACCTAGCATAACGTAATGACGTTGAGTTCACGTGTAAAGTAATTGCACGTGGTACGAAGAAAAAGTTTTAAATACCGACTGAAATTCAAAAGGCACTAAAATGAAAGTGAAAAATTTAAGGGTAAATCCTTTTAGCCGTGTACAAGAAGAAAGTGATGAAGCAATTCCGAGTACATCTGGAAACACCAAATCGTCAGAGGTTAGCTTACCATCTGACAGCAACTTTAATCACATAAAATGTAAAGCAGTACGATATAAAAAGTCTCAAAAGTTACTGCAAGCGAAAGCAAAGGCCAAGAAAGAGGCAAAGAAAAAAAGAATTGAAGAAGGGGCACCAAAACAGGTACCACACACTATTGAAAGTTTAAGGGAGAAAGATGAAACTACGATTATTGGAAATCTTGATGATGAGGAAAATCAAGAACTTAAACTTGATTTTGAGCATGATGAATTTGCATCGTATTATAAACATTCATATGAACCCAAAGTCTTGATTACTTATTGTGACAATCCAACAAGGAAAACTAGAATCTTCGGCAGAGAAATGACAAGGATGATACCGAATTCCATTTCTTTATACAGGAATAGATCAGGAGTGAAAAAAATGGTGAAAAGTGCTATTGCTAGAAATTTCACTGACATTGTTGTTATTAATGAAGATCAATGCAAACCAAGTATCCTTTTCATACTTTTAAGATCATTTTTAATGTTTTATTATATTTAACTATTCACTGTATCAGTTTATTATTTTTCTTATAAAATATCTCAGATGGTATGTTAGTCATTCATTTACCAAATGGACCAACAGCATACTTTAAACTCAGTAATGTTAAAATAACACCAGAATTAAGACGTAGTCACAAGGAGATTACAGAGCATAGGCCAGAAGTTATTTTAAATAATTTTACCACTCGCTTGGGTTACACAATTGGTAGAATGTTAGGAGCCTTATTTCATTATCAACCAGAGTTTAAAGGCAGAAGGGTTGTCACATTTCACAATCAAAGAGATTATATATTCTTTAGGCATCATAGGTAAAGTTTATAATCTACAAACATATTGGAACAAGTGGTAATAATGTTGTAATCACTATTAGGATCTGAGAATATGATATGTGTATATTTTTGTAGGTATCAGTTTGATTTACAGAAGGGAAAAGCTAAATTAAGAGAGTTGGGACCAAGGTTTACTCTAAAACTGAAATCTTTGCAACATGGAACTTTTGATAGCAAGTATGGAGAATATGAATGGCTTATACAAGGTAGAAGACATGATATGGAAACTAGTAGAAGAAAGTTCTTCTTATGAGCTTCATTATTTAGTATAAATACATTAAAGAATGTGTGCTTTATTATATTAAATAGTCAATAAAGTTTTTATAAGAAATATAAAAATTCTGTTTTATTAAACTCTTATGAATATTAACTTATAACAAAAATATTAGAATTTCTTTTGTAATATAAATTAACAAAGCTTACAAATTTCTACCTTCAATTATTTTTGGAGGTATACGTTTGCTGCTTTTAGATTTATATTTCTCATAAAGTACATTGGTCCTTTTCATAACATAAACAGCAGCATGTAGACCACCTATATTTACACCTAGCATTTTTGTTACCCAAAACATGTCTCCAGCTGTTTGCAAAGCCTGCTTAAAAAAGATATTTATATGATCTTGAATTAAAATATTAATTTTTGTATTCTAAAAACATACCATATTAAAACTGCGTCTGTCGTAAGTAAGCAAAACTGTTCGACCTGTAGATGTCTTCAGGATTCGTCCTAATTCTATCAAAAATTGTTTATAAAGTATTCTGTTATCTACCATTCGTCCACTTCTTTTTCCAAATGGCTGTAACAAGTACTGGCATGAATTAAATAATATACTAACAATATTTTTTACATGACAATATAATTACCATATCTGAGACAACAATATCAACATAACAATCCTTAAGTGGTAATTGTGATACACTCCAATTTATTAAATCAATTTTACATCTAGAGGCAGATGCATCAATATTAGACCTTGTTCTAGTTACAGCTTTTATATGATTGTCACCACCAATAACATAAGACTGAGAGTAAACTAAAGCAGCCTAAAACATTTAGAATCAGCTTTTGTTATTATTAGATTATATGTAGAGAGAAATGAAACAAAAATTTGTCTATCAACCTCTATTGGAATAGATCCACCACCACACATTGGGTCAATTATTATATCTCCTGTTTTAGGTTGAGCTAATTGTAGTAAGTTATAACATACAGTTGCCCTAAGAGTAGTTGGTCCAAAACACATAATATTTCTACGATGCTTAGATTCATGAGTAACGCGTAAATGTGTTACCAGTTCATCTAGAAATAATGTAGTATACTATATACCTTGGTGTACAACTGATTTTGCAATCTTACTTACTGTCAGTTAATTTGCAAACAACTTCTAAATAATATGTAGATAAATCCACAAGCCAACAATATTTATCTTGTAATTCTCCTCCAATTGCTCTAGCAACATCTGCCGATTCAAATGAGTGATTACCACTTCTTTCACATGTTACTCTGTATCTGAGAATTTCATTTTCTTTAGCTTCAGATGGATCTTGACCTCTTTTTCTACCTTTATGTGTTGCGACAGAGGTAACTGTATTTGAAAGTTTGCGGTCTTTTTCTGCTATATTATACTCTTCAATAGTGGGATATATTTTCCCTTGGAAACTAGTAATAGATTTCCAAGCATCTAAGCTTTTTTCTAATTTCATACTATTGTGAACTGAATCTTTAAATAGCTGAAGATCAGCTTCTTTACCAGACCCAGTAAACTCAAATTTTCTTACATCGGCAATTATAAATATATTATCTATTGATCTCATTTGTTGTACCTGTAATTATGAATCTGATCTTAACAAGAATATTTGATGACAAATTTAATATTTAAGTGTATACTATATATAAATATTATCCCTAATCTGTTACAAAGCTTATATTATATAAAATTTTGGTTACTTTACACAAAGTTACATTTCTGTTTCATTCAAGTATCAATAAGATAATAAATTCAAATTGACTACATAGAAATAATAAAAAACTGTCAATACTTGTTCAAATTGATTCCGATATATATTAAAGAAGATTTTTCCGCGCTCCTTAACAATCTGAACATTTTTATTCAATTTTTCTTTGCATTCATCCACCGCTTGCCATTCGAAACCTGAAATTGTAACATTGTATAGGTTACTCCGTAGAACCACGTGCTCGCCTTAATTAAGCTGAAGATGTGCAAGTATTTACCTGTGTCCACAGTCGTCGCTACCGTAAAAACATCATCGTTGATTAACGATTCACTGAACAACTTTTGTAAATCCGACTCATTGTTCGCGTCCATTTCAAAATTTGATGCTTTTACATGTAAATTATTTTCAGCTTCCCTCGAACACGTGATTATGCACGTGACTAATGTCAAACTTACATTCCACGTGTCCGCAGACTACATCCAAGGATACTCAACGGAAACAAGGTAAACAATATACAAAAATATATACAAACACCTCAACCCATTCTTCGAACATTATACCATTAACATCTTTAATCAATTAAGCGAGGTATTCGACTTTCATAAAGTCATACATCAAAACATCATTAATTTGTTTACCTTCTCCTAGTATTCCATAACGAAAAACCACAAATTACATTTCACTTCTTTATGTTTTGCACCATAAAAACCCATAAGAAATAGTTCCAACAAAGAGACGTGTACAAAACAATATTACAGTTTTACCCTACATCCGTGTACAAATTTAAACTTCTTATACCTTAATGATTTATAAATCATTCCGAAAAGCCTCTCTTCGATCCTCCCGATCAAAATATCTCGTAATTCCCCCAAGAAGAATCGATTTAATTATCGATTTCCGAGTTCAAGCGAGCGAATAACCTTTGAAAGCGTCGCACAGGAAACGGTAAATAGTTCGAAGAGTGCTTAATCCGCGAAACTATTCATTAGAATAGTCAGGCGATCCGGGAATGCGGAAAAAGATAGCCGCCGCTCGAATTCGCGAGTGAAAGGCAACAAAAATCGCGCGTTCGCGGGACTCTGTTTTTGTGCAAAATAAAGAACACCTCTTCCGCGCTCATGTCCTCCTGATACAAAATGTCAATTTTGTTCAACAGTTTACAAAGTTTCTAACTTTTGCGAAATGTAACAACAAACGATGGCCAAACGCATCGCGCGGAGCCATTTTGCGGAGGGGGTGAGCGGGTTCACGGGGGTTTTGCAACGATAATGCACTATATATACGTACATCTCAGCGTTTATAGCGATGTAACGAAATTGAACACGCGATACAACGGCGTGTACGTCGCCGTTTCACGTTTTATCGAGCTGTCGTCGACTGGAGGAGCATTCACCGATAAAAGAGCATTCTTTCTCTCTCGCATTCCAATTTATTCGATTGTCGTGGAACAACGTTAATTTAGTTAATTGCAACCTTTTTTTATATCGCAGTGAAAAATCTAATCGTTTATCGAGAAAATGGAATATACCGAGGACAATTGATGTAAATGAGCATTCGCGGTTACATTTGTTAATTAGAAGTGTGTATCCTTTGTCAAGTATTCAATTAATGTGTATTTACATATTTTTGATAATGAGATATTTTTTGTAAAAATTGTTTGTTGAGGGTTATTTATGAATATAAATAGCTCGGAAAAGATACTATTGATTCTTTATGGTATTTTGGTTATATGGATGCTGATTAAATTAGATATTTATTAATAAACGGATAAATGTAACGGATAAGTGACGTAATATTGGAATTCAGTCGTACCAAATATGGAACGGTAAAACAATTAGTAACAAATATTTCATCGAAATATGATTTATTTTCATGCATGCCAACTTTAGCTATAGTAAATAAATAATTGGTAGTCGAGGAGTGAAGAGAAGGTTAATAATATGGAATTTTAAAATATAGATTGCAAATTCCACGTTTCACGATGTTTCAGCGCGGCGGGCTTTATCAATATTTATCTTCTATTTGGCTTCGGAGCGCAGATAGTAGTTCCTTATCGACAAAGCGTAGATTTGTATACTCGGCTCGATTCGGTTTAGTTTTGAAAATTATTAAATCCAATTGAAAACGGTAGACCAAACTCGGAACGGATCATTGAATTATTAAGCGGCCGACGATTGAACGACCAAACGTTTCCTTCGGAAACCGCAACTGGTATTACGGAAAACTACTTACGGAGACTCAATTCTCGAGACGTTCATGAATATTCACCGGTGAACGTGAGTTGACGTTTGTAGTTGTCCTTAATTCAATTTACCCCGCGGATATTTGGAAAAAGTCATTTATTTTAGGAGTGAAACTGACACCGTGGCTTGCGAACGAACAGATACGACGTATCCTGCTCGAAAGAATATAAAAAGAGAGTATCAACGAAGAATTCGATCTTAGGATCGTTTCAGTAATACAATAATTCATACGACAGTAATTAATACAGTTCTTTTTCTAACCCACAGTAAAGAATCGCTGTAAATCGCTGAAAAAATTTATTTAATGAGTACCTTTTCTGAATCTTGGTTTGATAAAAGTCATTAAATTAGAATAGAGAAGAGATATAAATAAACGAGGGAACGAAATTATAAGCGACATTTCCTTTTCGTATGGCTATCCAATATTTTCGCAACGCTTCCGGTCTTTTGCTTCCACTAATTCATTGAATCATTAAAACTTCCTTTGTCTTATCGATCTATCATGGTAATCCTTATTTTGCATCGTTTAATATTATTAATAGACACACGTTTTTCGCTAATTATCATCGATATAATCTATACGCTGGAAGGCTGGTAATTATATTTATAAACCGATGATATCGCAGATGCACGGCGGATAAGCTGTGCACACATTGCGTCTCATTAGGTAGCATCAGCGACTCCATAATCTCGCGCGTTTGTTTTGCTGCTTTTTCTTTAATTATGATTTTGAAGCCCCGCGAAAAAGACAGCTACTTACTCGCCCGTCGGGCTCCACTCATTATTAAACTAGTAGATGTAAAATGTCACCCCGCTGACGTTTAAATATTGAATTTCCAATTAGCAGGTAAATTTCAATGTTTAACGCGGTGGGTTACTATTGATTTCGGATAAAATACATCCTAACATCTGACAGTTTAAATTCCGAATACAATGATGATTACGAGATTGCGAACTTAATACAATAGATGGATTATACGAGAAGGCAAAATATAAAATTGAAATTTTGATGAACGTTGATCTCAATATATTAACCGACGAGTGAATTGGTGAATGAATTTTGGACAGCTTGAACTTTTATGTCATTAATTACTAATTTAAAAATAGAATAACGAGTGTACTATGCTTTAATGAGTTGCCCAGTAATTTGCTGTTTAAATATTTAGTCAGTACATTAATCCATCGTAAACGCTATAGATATAAAAACACGGCGATGTAATTGAAAAGTAAATATATTTAAAAGTTTCGTTACGAAGTTCAAAGCTACGAGCGAAAAACATCTGCTAAAACTGCATTTTCTTAAATATATCCACCATGAATGTTATATAATTACATCCTGAAAAATTGAACAAACAAATTCCAACCAAAAGAAGATCAGTCACTCAAACGTCTCGAACCTTGCTTGATTATTGATCCCCTGAATAATGAAATCTCTTATTTCCACTCAGTTAACCAAAAAAGAAGAGATTTCTCCGATCTCACCGAATTCAACGCGAAATTTCATTGACTCTTCGTTCCGAACGATTCTATTCGTAATCGGTATTTATAATCTTCAATTGCCAAACAGTAGCAAACAGCCGGAGACTTTTCCCATTTGAAACGGATGCGCCGAGAATGCCTGATCCAGGCTGCTCGGAAGAATCGGTCGATCCGGGTCGCACGCGCATAAATATGTAATTTCCTGTTATTCATAGACAATCGTCTGGTATCCTGGATTAAAACCGATCATTAGAATGTTAGGGGGCGTGAGATGAAGGGCGAGCGGGGGAGGCCCCATCGCGAAAGGTGGAAAAGCTCGCGGACGCGTCTGCATTCAGCCCTGGGTCATTGCAGGTCGAAAGTTCGCCGGGCCATACGTCTCTATACATAGATCCATCCGATCCACCCTTCTAACCACCCCTCAGCCGCCTGTTTCTCTCTTTCTCGCGCATCTTGTCCCGCGGACTGACAGCTGAAGCCAGGAATGACTGAAATATTCATCGGCACAAGGCGAACGAGTCGCGACCGAACGTCGATCTGTCAACCGGCTTTGACTATATAAATATGGACTGCCGGCGGAGCTGGCTGCGCCGAGGATATAGTTTTACGCCGGTGGAGAACGCCGGGGAGAAAAAAAAGGAAACGTGTTTTCAACATCTCCGGCGAGCCGACGGAAGCGCAATTTATTGAAAGCCCGCGGAAAATACCGGAAAATCTGGTCTGAAACCGGGGTTTGGAGAATCTTCATTTCTCTGAGTGGTTTGTTCGGCTTCGAGAGATTTTACTTTTGGCGGAATTTTGGGGCTTTTTGATGGTGGCTGAACGCTGCGCTTTGTAGAGGCGTTAGGTTGTAGATTTCAAAGCGGTTAGAGGTTTTTAAGCGGATAGTGATTGTATTATTATTGTCAGATTTGTAAGTTTTTTACCTTTAGCTTTTAGTATTCCGACTTCTGTGTTGGGAATTATATTTAGAGCTCGCGATGAATATTTGAAGAGATGCATTTCTCGAGTAGTCAATTTACGATATTGTTCTACTTTCCTCTGTATCTTTATTTGAAACGGAGCACGGGTACGATAACGCTTCTCTCAAAATCCAGTGAAGCGTGTCACGAGCATTTTAGGCGGGATAAAGGCTATCGTGATACGATGCTTTGTGTTTCAGGATACGTCAGCGGGAGTATTATCGAGGGATTACATTTCGACGAGTGTCACGGAAGGGTAGATTATTATGATTGTCAAGAAATTTAAGGTGATGCGTGAAAAAGGAAAGAAATTCAACAGTGTTATATGATAGATTAGCATTTAGTATCATATTCATATTCTTATCAACTTTCGTAATTAATTTCTTCAATGCATATACGATAATATACTTTTATTGCAATGCGTATGCAAACCATCATTACCACTAATTAATCACACCAAAGAGCCTTTCTTACAGTCGAATATTACATGACACAATCTCAATTAAAAAATCTACGTAAAAGTACCTAGCAAGTCGAAATCTAAAAATATTTTATTAATGCAATAGTTTTGATGCTTTTTTATAATAAAGAAGAAGAGTTCTCAACTGTAAGTAAAAACGAAACAAGTGTCTTTATACACGTTATAATCAAAAACAGGTGTTAGAATAACAAATATACCTAAAAAACATCCAGATAAAACTAATTTCTGTAACGTTAACAACTAACACTGAAACTACCGAGTTAAACTGACTTTCTAAAATTTCTCTATAGAAACTTTAAAAGTGCATCTATCGAGGCTTCAATCGATCTACAATTCAGTTTGCGTATTACTAAATCAGTTTCCTTAATAACCTCCCAGAGAAACACCTCTTATCCTTCTAACCCTTTGCACTCAGAAGTCCTTCACTAAAAATATTCAACAGTTTCCAATGAGTTATAGATGACATCCTTCGAAATGAATTGAACGAGGGAATATACATAGGTTAAGCAACAAAGTTATTTTAATATTTCACAAATTCACCGATTACAAGAAGCTTAACCCTCGAATTATCGAGCAGTTACTACGATTGATACGTACTCCCTACAAAAATTATAACAATAAATGATTTTCGGTTTCTCCAATTATAGTATTCAAGTGAAACTATCTATTTTCAAAATCATTACGACTATTCGATGCTTCTAAGATATTAATAATTCCGAAACAAACAAATTCAAACCAGTCTAAATGACTTAATATGCAATTCCTATAAAAATTGTAACAGTAGATTATTTTCAGTTTCTTTAGACATTTATTATAGTACTCTAGTGAAACTATTTATTTTCAAAATCATTTCGAATACTCAATGCTCCGAAGATATCAATAATTGCTAAACAAAAAAATTGAAACCAGTCATTCTGACTGCTACAGTAGTTCTAGTGTTAATATTCCATATAAGACTTTATTTTGGTATATCGAATCAACTGAGAGTCACCTCTCAAATGCAAAGGGTTAATAATTGCAAAAAGAAAACATCAGGAAAGAGTGATTCTGACCCGTCAGATAGTTT